TTTTTTTTTCTATGTATAGAATTTGCTGAAGATATGCAACGTGAATTAGCTGATGATGCACCATGGAAAAGAATTCAACAAAATACATTTACACGTTGGGCTAATGAACATTTAAAATTAATGAATCGTCATGTTGCTGATTTACAAGATGAATTAGGCGATGGATTAAGTTTAATTGCATTAATTGAAGTTTTATCACAAAAAAAAATACCGCGTTATAATAAACGACCAAATTTTCGTTCACAAAAACTTGAAAATGTGTCTGTTGTACTCGATTTTCTTGAAAACACAGAACGTATACGTCTTGTTAATATCGGTAAGTTGATGACTAGAGAAGAAGAAAAAAAGAAATATTTACTTCAGTTATTGTCAAGTAGAATGACACTTGAGATGAGTGTGTTAAAATTTACTACATCTATTTTGTTACATATACACATTTGTAAAAAAGAAAAAAAAGATTTTTGTGATTTTATTTAGTTAATCGAATGTAGAAAATGCTGCCTTAGAATGTAATGTAATAAAGAGAAAGAAAAAAAGAACGATTCATATTTCATTATATAGATGAAATTGAATGAGTGTAAAGGTACGATTATGATTGATAATATTTACATATAATATATTAAACATAGAATGATTTATTGATAAGAAATCTCGTTCTCGAAATGATTGAATTGAATACTGTTTTGTATTTATATATATATAACTTGTTATTATGAAGTAAATTATATTCTTTACAAATCCTTAGAAAATATTTTATATTGCATTTTGTTTTCAAGTGTTCCGGAATAATGTTTTTATTCAAGTGATAATTATAAATTTATAGAGTAATTCAAACAGCGAATATTATACTATTTAAAGAGAAAAAGAAATGATAATGTTGGTTATTAGTTTCAATGCATAAATTTGACAAAATCTCTAAAAATATAAGATATTTCATCAACGTGACTTTCGATCTAGTTTAAATGACTAAAATGAATCATAAAATAGTGTATTGATGTTAATCCCTATTTAACCTATAGGCTTAAAAATATAGTTATAAACTTAGGTTACTCGAAAACACTTAGTATTCTCTAAACTCTTACCAAATCATGTTTTATGTCTATTGTATGAAAAATCTCCTGATAGATTTCTCTGACCTCTGTAATCTAATTTTTCAACAGAATAGAGATGATCGCAAATTCTTATTGTTGACGTATACTATAATAAAATTATCAACTATTAACATATCTTAGATATATATATACAGAAATAGAAACAGCTGTATTTTACATACTAAACAAAAGGAGAGAATACTTAGCATATATCTTTCGATTCTGTTATCAATTAACGTTTTGTAAATATCCTTGTGCTAATAATAACTTATACATAAAAAAAACAAAGATATTTATTATTATTATCATTCAGATGCGACACATATTGTTGATGGTAAATTAAAATTAATTCTTGGTTTAATATGGACACTTATTTTACATTATTCAATCTCATTACCTATGTGGGAATTCGAAACACCAGATGCACCTGGTTCAGGACGAGATGCAACACCAAAACAAAAACTTATGAATTGGATACAAGAAAAATTACCACCGGAATTACCTATTTCAAATTTTACATCCGATTGGAATGATGGTCGCGCTATTGGCGCACTTGTTGATGCATGTGCACCAGGTAAAATTTTTTTTTCAAAACAAAATAAAATTATAAAACGAAAATTTTATAGGACTTTATCCTGATTGGAATAAGAAGGATCCACGAAATGCATTAGAAAATGCTAAAGAAGCTATGGAATTAGCTGAACGTTGGTTAGGTATTCCACAATTAATACAACCACATGAAATGATTAATCCTAAAGTTGATGAACAATCTATGATGACTTATCTATCACAATATCCAAGTGCAAAATTGAAATCCGGAGCACCAATTCAACCAAAAACAAATTCAGCACGTGTTAGATGCTATGGCAAAGGTATTGAACCAAGTGGAAATCAAGTTGGTGCACCTGCTAAATTTCATGTTGAAACATTTCAAGCTGGTCAAGGTAATGTCGAACCTATTGTTATCAATCCAAAAGGTCAACGAGAAAAAGTATGAAAATTTGTCTATTCATATTTTCCCAAAAAAAAATAAAATCATTTACATTTTATTTCTAGTGTGATGTTGAACCTCGTAATGATAAAAATCAAACATTTGATTGTACTTATTATCCAACAATGGAAGGACAATATAAAGTAAGTAATAAAAAGAAAGTCAATAAAGAAAAATTATCTATTTTGGTTTTATATAGGTTATTGTTAAATATGGAGGACAAGAAGTACCAAAATCACCATTTTCACCTTATATTGAAGGTAAAGCTGGTGATGCTAGTCAATGCCGTGCACATGGACCAGGTCTTGAACCAAATGGTGTTATGGTTGATAAACCAACTTGGTTTGAAATTGATGCTACAAGTTTGTTTCTATAGTTTTTACTTTTAATTCTATTTACGAAATATAATAGATGCTGGTAATGGTCTTGCTGAAGTTATTCTTGTTGATCCACGTGGTCGACAAGATGTTGTACCTGTATCAGTTAAACAAATTGGTCCAGGAAAATTTCGTTGTGAATATGTACCACGTGAACCTGGTCTTCATTCAGTTAATGTCTTCTTCGCAGGTCGTCCTATACCAAATAGTCCTTATGGTGTTAATGTTGCATCGTGTATGTATAATCTAGAATTTATTATATATAAATGAGAAAGATGATTTTTTTTTCATCGTTTAAATTAAAAACAAACGAGATCTAAGACATCATCAATATCTACTATACGGAATGATAATAACTATCAGTATGGTTTGTTTGTAGGAAGGTGATAGGAATAGTTTTTATTTGAATTAACATTGGTGATTGGATATAACTGATAAAAGATTTTTTTTTAAACATTATACTCATAGTTTTGTTTTATTTATAGCATCGGATGCTAAGAAATGTCGTGCATATGGACGAGGTATTCAACCAAAAGGTGTTCGTACAGGTGATGTTGCTGAATTTCGTGTTATTACCAAAGATGCTGGCGAAGGTGCTATGAAAGCAACAGTTACTGGACCTGGTATAATTTTCGATTTTTATAATTTATTCTATTAAGTAAAATAATTGTTTTAGATGGTTCGGAAATTCCTTGCCGTGTAACAAAAGCTAATAATACAACATATGAATGTGGCTATGTACCAAATCGTGTTGGACCTCATACAGTTAATATAACATATGGCGGTGAACATATCCCACGAAGTCCATTTCCAGTCATGGTTGGACCATACAAAGATTCACGTATTCGAGCATTTGGTCCAGGTCTTGAAGGTGGTGTTGTTGGTTATCCAGCAGATTTTGTTGTTGAAACAAATGGAGAAACTGGTTCATTAGGTATGTTATTCCATGATTTTATTCTTTTTTTACTAATTTTACAAATATATTAACTCATTTTCATTAGGCGATATTAGTAAGTATAACTGAGCGTGTACATTTGTGTTTTGACAGCATGGAATTTTATTTGATACTATTTATTTGAAGGAAAAGAAAATAAATAACTTATTTCTTTTTTTTTTGTCAAGGTTTCTCAATCGAAGGACCATCACAAGCACGTATTGAATGTAATGATAATGGTGATGGATCAGCTAATGTACGTTATTGGCCAACAGTACCTGGAGAATATGCAGTACATATTCTTTGTAATGATGAAGATATACCACTTTCACCATTTATGGCATGGATCGAAGCACCAGGAAATTTTAATCCAACTAAAGTATGACAAAAAAATATTGTATTATTTTATTTTTTTTATACATTCGATTTGAATAAATATTAGGTTAAAGCTTTTGGTCCAGGAATTGAACCAAGTGGACAAATTATTGGTAAACCAACTGAATTTACAATTGATACAAATGGTGCAGGCGAAGCACCATTACGAGTTCAAGCTATTGATCAAGAATATCAACCAGTTGATGTACAAGTTCGTAATAATGGAAATGGAACATATACATGTCGTTATACACCACGAACTCCACTTCGTCATTGTATTTTAGTTGATTATGGTGGTGTTGCTATACCAAATAGTCCATTTAGAGTAATATATTCTTTATTTTTTCTAAAAACAAATTTCTAATACTAATTTCAATGTATAGGTTTGGCCAAGTGAACCATCAAATCCATCTAAAGTTCGTGTCTATGGTCCTGGTGTTGAACGTGGTGTTAAAATGAATATTCCAACATATTTTGTTGTTGATTGTAAAGAAGCTGGACCAGGTAAACAATGAATAATAACATAATTTAAATAAACTATATTTTTGTTTTTGTAAATATTTCAGGAGATATATCAATTGCATTAACGGATACTAAAAATCAAGATGTACCATTTACAATTGATGATAATCAAGATGGAACATTTCGAATTGCCTACACAGCTAAATTACCTGGTGTACATTGTATAAGTGTTTTATTTGGTGATAATGAAATACCAATATCACCAATTAAAGTTAATGTTGAACCAAGTGTTGATGTTAGTAAAATACGTATTGAAGGTCTTGAAACAAGTAAGTCTTTTCGTTGTTATTTATTTAGATGTAGTTTAAAAATAAACAAAAAAATATCAGTTAACTTTTTTTTCTTTTCTTTTATAAATTGTTTGTTTGCGCATTGAAACCTTAAATCCTTAGTTATTTTTTTCTTTGTCTTTCTACACGCACTCTATCTCTCTCATCCATCCTAGTGCCTATTGTTGGACAGCCTGCCCAGGTAACATTAAATACACTAGCAGCTGGTCCATTACCGCCAAATGCGGTTCATGCTCGTATTATTGGACCATCAGGAAATATACAAGAAGCTGTTGTAACACCTGCACCACAAGGATATAATCTTCGTTTTAATGTACCTGAACCAGGTACATACACCGTTGAACCAGATGTATGTACAATACCATTACGTCCTGGACAAATAACAGCTATTGAACCACTTGATCCAAGTAAAGTACGTGCTTATGGACCAGGTCTATCACAAGGTACAGTTAACAAACCAGCTGATTTTATTGTTGATACACGTGGAGCTGGTAATGGTCAATTGGGTGTAACAGTTGAAGGACCATCAGAATCGAAAATTGATTATCAAGATAATAATGATGGTAGTTGTCGTGTGACCTATCATCCAACAGGTATTTTCTATTTTTTAATTTCTTCTCATCGTTTCGTAAAATCTTAAACATTAATTATATACAGTCGCTGGCAATTACAATATTAATATATTATATGAAGGCAAACATATACCTGGATCACCATTTCGTGCTGCTGTACGAGCTGATCTTGACACACGAGCTATTCGTTGTTATGGACCAGGTCTTGATCCTCACGGTGTGTACTACATGGGTTCAACGACAATATCTATCTATCTATCTATATATATCTATATCTATTCATTTATATCTAATCAATCGCATCGCATGCGCTATTTTTTTTTCCATCAGTTCATTTCGCCTGCATGTATCATTGCTTTTGAAGTGAACAGGTTTCTTACTAAATTATATGATATGTATATAATCATATATTTAGTACTAATCGTTTGTTTTTTCTTCTTCAAACAGATATATCGATATCTTGTGATGAATTGTGTTTTTTTTACGCATGATGTCTGATCTTTTTTTCTGACCGTTATTTATTTATTTAAATGTTACTTTTTTATTTAGGAGTATTTCTTGAAAGTCCAACAGAATTTACTGTTGATGCCAAATCAGTTACTGGTAGTGGTTCAGGAGTTGTTGAATGTTTATTGACATCACCAAGTGGTCGAGTTGTTCGATGTCCTGTAAAAAATATGGGCGATGGTACTTATCAAGTACAATATGCACCATATGAACAAGGTATATATTTTTCATTACTCAAATTTAATTATATGTATTATAATAAATATTTATCATTTAGGGCCACATCAAATTGAAGTTACATACGAAAATATTCCTGTACCGGGTAGTGCATTTCGTGTTAATGCTATACCAGGTTGTGATCCATTACGTGTACGCGCTTATGGACCAGGTCTTGAACATGCAGTTACTAATGAACCAACAACATTTACTGTTGAAACAAAAGGTGCTGGCCAAGGTAGTCTTGGTTTAGCAATTGAAGGACCATCAGAAGCAAAAATGGTTTGTAAAGATAATCAAGATGGTACTTGCATTATGGAATATTTACCTGTAAGTGAAAGAACAAAGTTAATGTTTTTTTCTATGCTAAACTTTATATTTTTTTTTATTAGACAAAAGCTGGTCAATATGATATTGCAGTTAAATTTGCTGATCAACATGTACCGGGTAGGGCAATCATTTATCTAACAATAATAAGAAAAACAGATAGAAATAAACCATCTTTTATGAGAGCAAGATTTCATTTAATACTCCTATAAGACTAATAAATATAATTTCTGTTCGATAAAATCAATCATAATTGAAGGATCATTTCGAATGTTTCCGTATGAGTAATTCTATTGATTTTCTATATTAGCAAGTTAGTTCTTTCTTTATTAATAACATCATGTCATCTATAAATGATGCGAAATATTTTCCGATTTAATGCTTCTTATACGAAATCAGTATTCAAAATAGATTGATAAGAATAACTTATATAAACAATTGGGATACTATTAATAGATTTTTTTGTGTTATCATAAATGGTTGATTTAATACAAATTGAAATAACAATTCGAAGATAGTCTAGACTCTTGTATTCAATAATTTTATTTTTTCTTATTATAGGTTCACCTTTTCGAGTTAATGTACGTGATCGACTCGATGCTAATCGTGTTAATGTTAAAATGAGTTCAACAATGCGTGCTAATGTTTTACAAGAAATTATAATCGATGGTCAATCAGCTGGACCTGGTACTCCATCAGTTGATATTTCTGATATTCATGGTATGTTCTATTTATATCTGAATCATATATACCTATCGATTGAGAATAAATCTCTGCATGTTCTTTCTTTCTTTTATTGCGAAAACGAAAATAAAAAAACAACATTAATTCAAGAGTAATGATCACAATAAAAAAAAGAAAGAACGCAATAAAATATCGATGGTACCAATCTAGAGTATAATTATATTACCTTAACCTTTTCCCATTGGTTTATATTATGAAGTATATACTTAAAAGAAATAACTTAAATCTATTAAATCAATAATAAATTCGAATAATATGAATATATTATTTTTATAGGACGTCGTAAACCGGCAAATATTCGACCAAGAGGTGAAGGTATATACGTTGCAGAATTTACTCCACAAATTGAAGGCCCACATCGTATTGATATTAATTGGAGTGATCAACCAATTCTTCAAAGGTAATTCTTTTTTTTTTCAATATAAAAATAATGTTTGGAATAATTATATATTTAATCTAGTCCATTTCACGTTCAAGTTCTTCCGCATTTCGAACCACATAAAGTTATTGTTGACGGTCCTGGTATACATAGTGGTATTCCAGCATCATTAGAAACATATTTTCGTATTGATACACGTGAAGCTGGTTTTGAACATCCAGACGTTTTAATTAAGGTAAAAAATATTAGATTTTCTTTTGTTCTAGGAAAGGTTTTAATATTATCCATTACATTTTATTGTTTAGAATCCCGAAGGTCTTTTAGTTCCATCAAAAATAATCGATAATAAAGATGGAACATATAGAGTAACATATAAACCAAATGATGCTGGTCGATATTTAATTAGTGTTAATTATGGCGGTGTCCCAATTAATAATTCTCCATTCAACGTAAAAGTGGAACCAATCGGAGATGCATCCAAATGCCATATTTCTGGTAGAAATATAATTTTTTCAAAAAAGAATTATCTGTTTTTGTTTTTCTAATTTAGGCAATGGTACTAATCCTAATCTTCAAGTTGGCGAAGAATATACAATAAGTGTTGATACACATGAAGCTGGCCCAGGCGCAGTTACATGTCGTATACGTTCAACACTCGGCAATGATCTCGATATTGATATTGTTGATAATGAAGATGGAACATTTAATCTCTTCTATACACCACATAATCCAGGAAATTATGTTATTAAAATTAAATTTGGTGGTCAAGATATTCCTGGTGGTGATTTTGTTGTTACAGTAAGTTTTCAAACAAAAAATTTAATTTTCCTTTATTTTTTTCTTACTAATAAATATGCTATTTCAATCAATATGAAACTTACTAACATCGTTTAGCCTAATCCAACAATGGTAGGCATAATGCAAAAAAAAGAAATTTCCACGATTGCTGTTCTGTTGATAACAGAGAACATAAAAAATAAAATAAAATAAAAGCTCGATTATATCGCTCTCCTTCTTCTTCTAATAGGGTGAAACAGATCTTTCGGTATGATAAATTTTCTATCACATATTTTAAGCAGACCACTTACTTCTTCTCAAAACGAAGTGTCACATTAATGCTTATATCTGGACACTATTTCAAAAGATATAAAATTTTATTCTCATCTCCTTTCTTTAAATAATGTCACTATATATCGAATAAAAAAAAGCAAACTTGGCTACTATATATATATCTATTCACCATTCTATTTTCCAATGGTAGTATGCTTCTTCTTCTTGTTTTTTTTTCTGCCACACTGCTGCAATGCATTCTATTTATTGCAAAGAAAGTTTTAATCTAAAATATTTTCTTTTTTTCTCTATAAAGGCTGGCGATGGCGATAAATATTATCGAGATACACAAATTACTGAAACAATTACATCACGTCATACAGCAAGTCAATATCGACCTGTCGATTTTCGTTTACCAGTCGGCGGTGGTCAATTTGGGGATATTAGTGGTAATTAGAAATCTTTTTTTATTGACAGTAGATATTAAGATCGAATTTAACAGAATATGAAAGACTATTATTGAAGCCTTCTAAGAGCTTTGATGAGTTTCGTATGTATTCACTTATCATTGAGTAAGAATCTATATTTGTTCGAAGGTATAAATCATTAGAAGTCACTCAAAGAACTGATTTTACATGATTTCGCTAATCTGAGTGAAAAAAGCGACAGCCAATCAAGGTTATGTTATCAATTCGTTCGAGAGCGGAAACATGTGTATATATGTTGTTTCCGGTTCAATTCATCATTGACTTAAACGATAGATTCATTACTTCGATGTACACTGACCTTGTTCATCCATCACATTTTATGTCAGAAAAAAATACTTTTTGTATTGTTCATCGACTTGATTAATCAAAATATTTCGTTGAAATTGAAAGATGTTTATTTTAAATTTTGTTATTCAATCATTCACCGTAAACAACGGACACTCTTAATATGCCTGTGGTATTAGAGATACCTTTCCTATCATCATCTTATTGAAGATCTCTATGTCTAACGATAACACTTAATATTCTAAAAATCAAATATATCCTAGTTTGACACGGTGGCTGATATTTTAATTAATCAACTACAAAAGGTTCTATAGTTCGTTGTCGCTTGACGAAAAAAAAGATAATAAAAAAAATCTAACATCTCAATCGATGAGAACTATTCTCTGACAAACGAGATGAATGGTTCTTTTTCTTCTCATCGAATAAATATGAGTAAACTTGTTGTGATAAATCATCATAAAAAAGAACTTTTTGCTCATTTCTCTCTTTCGCGTTCGCTTTTATACCTATAACATTTTACCTTCTATATATGTATATTGATAAGAATGAATGAATGAAAAGAATTTTGTATATATGCTTCCGGTACTCGTTGTTCTACACATAAACAGTACAAAAAACGAAAGAAAGAAAGATACTAATAGAAAGCAGAAAAGAAAAAAAGAAATCTGAATTGAGATCGAATTACATTATACTGAACACTTGGTGAGACGTGGTAAACAGCTTGAATGAAAGCAATTGTTATACATATTTGATTGAGCTTAACATATATACTCTTTTATAAGAAAAAAAAGAATAAGATGTATTCTAAAGGTATTAATGATTTTGAAAAAAAATCTCGTTTTTTTTCTCCTCTTCAAATAATAATTCTTTTTCTTCTTCTCTTTAGCATTAATTCGAACACCAACTGGTCGAATTCATACCCCCATCATTGAAGATAATCATGATGGAACTGTATCAATTAAATATCAACCATCAGAAGTTGGTCTACATGAATTAGATGTTTTCTATCAAGGACAACCTATTGCTGGTTCACCATTTAAATTTCATGTTGATCAAGTTCAAACAGGTTATGTTACTGCATATGGACCTGGTCTTAGTCATGGTGTTTGTAATGAACCATGTAGTTTTCGTATTATTACAAAAGATGCAGGTTCAGGTGGTCTTTCAGTTGCTGTTGAAGGTAGTTCAAAAGCTGAAATACAATGTAAAGATAATAAAGATGGTACATGCGATGTCACTTACTGGCCGGTAATTTAAATATAAAAAAGAATTTTCTATGATTTTTTTTTTCTCTTTTTTCAAGACTTCACCAGGTGAATATACAATAACTGTTAAATTTGCTGATAAACATATTGTTGGTTCACCATTTACTGCTAAAATAACTGGTTTACCAGCTTCAATGGATCAATATAAACGTTCACAAGTTACAATTGGTAATCAAAGTGAATTTAGTTTACGTACAACTGAAATGGATATACATGAATTACATGCAACAATACGTTCACCAAGTGGTTATGAAGAACCATGTGTATTAAAAAAATTAGCGAATGGAAGTCTTGGTATTTCATTTGTACCACGAGAAATAGGAGATCATTTAGTCAATGTTTTTCGTGATGGACAACATATTAAAAATAGTCCATTTCGTATACATGTTGGTTCATCGGAAATTGGTGATGCTACTAAAGTTAAAGTATTTGGTCATGGTTTACAAGAAGGTAAGAATAGAAATAAAATATGTACATATATGTATATTCTTTTTAGGTTATGCCTATCAAACAAATGACTTTACTGTTGTTACACGTGATGCTGGTTAGTTTAGTTTAAAAAAATCTTAAAAGAGAATTTTATATTTCTTTTTTTGTTATTAGGTTATGGTGGTTTATCCCTTTCAATTGAAGGTCCATCAAAAGCTGATATCGAATGTCATGATAATGAAGATGGTTCATGTTTAGTCACATATAAACCAACCGAACCAGGACTTTATATTGTCAATGTTAAATTTGCTGATAGACACGTACCAGGTTCGTATAGAATTAAAACGAAAGAAATTTTGTCCTTAGAAAAAATAATTCTTAAATACATAATGATTATATGTCATTTTATCATTATCTCTACTAAATTCTCTTTTATTTTGATTGATATCATATTGACGATAGTTCATTAAGAATTTATTAATTATATATACATATTTCTTTTTCTAGGTAGTCCATTTACAGTCAATGTTGGTGGTCAAGGATCAAGTCGACTTAAAGAAAGTATTTTACGTGAACGTCGTGCAGTTGATATTACACACATCGGTAGTCAATGCGAATTATCACTTAAGATTCCTGGTATGTACTGTTTCCAACCGATCTATTTTTTGTCATTTACTATTTGGCCTATAAACAGTAAAGATATATATATATAGGAGAAGGTTGAGTAAGAAAAAAAAACGAATAGGACTGCTAGAAACATTCTATTTATTTGTCTGTCTATATATGTCTCGAACGTATGTTATCAGTAGTTTTCTCAACGACATCGTTAACAATGTTATCTTTGATGATGATGGTGGGATCCTTCTGATAGACGAGGTTTGTCAATTGGTATCAACATCAGATAAACGTAGGAGGGGGAGTAGGATAGCGACGACAAAGGCACATACGTACAAAAAAAAGAGAAAAGAACTCGTCGCTACGTATCATCAACTATCGTTTGTTGCGCGGGTGATTAGAATAAATCTATGCTTATTTCGGTGTCGATATTAAGACAACTGCTGCTATTATTATAGAGAAGAGAAGAGAAAAAAAAAGAAATAGACACATACATATACATACATATATCAACAAGAAAAGAAAACCACTAGATACCAGATAATTGTTGGCTAACGAAAAAACAAAATGCATCCAGGAAGTAATCTTCAAGCAGTTAGTAGTGGTGAACGTCGTTCATCTCATCAACATTATTCAATGAAACAAGTTAATAATGAAAAACCAATAGTACAATCTGAATATGAAGAACAAGTACAAACATGGGGTCAACCATTATCATCATCATCATCACAATATCTGAGCAATGCTGATTCAGAAAGAAGTCGTGTCCATTCTGGTCAACGTATTTCGAATTCATCATCATTTGATCATAAAAATGCTCTTCTACATGGAAGTACCAGTGGTATCGATAATGCCAATTATCAACAACAACAATCATATACAGATCAATATCGAAATATTGGTCATTCGACAGCAGCGAAAGTCAATGTACTTCGACAACAACAACAGCAACAACAACTATCGAATACATCATCGTCATATTCAAAAACAAGCAATCGAAATAGTCAACTACAATCTGGTTCCGAACATACACATGATGTACCCTATTTCCATGGATTTAAATTTCAAGCTATTCCAGGTTTCCTTTTATTTTGCGCACGCGTTAGAGAGAGAAAAGAATTTATTTGATATTTTCTCCAACATTTAAATATTTAATTTCATTTATTTATTTTTTCATTTAGGCACATCACCATTTGATATGAGTGCTTATGTTACAAGTCCATCTGGACATTTAGAAAATTGCGAGATTGTGTAAGTTTTCTTTTCTCTATTAATAATTACAAAACTATTTTCGATAAAAGCAATTTGTAAAACCTAAAAATACCAGAGGTTATCAAGTATAAAAATTAAAACTACACTGATAATACTTATTCTTTCGAGTATTGATGCATACTAAATATTTCTTAAACAACTGATACTGAACCTGAATAAATTATGTTTGAATTCTCTTTTAGTGATCTCGATGATTGCAATTATTCAATTAAATTTATCCCGAAAGAAATGGGTGTTCATACTGTTAGTGTTAAACATAAGGATATGCATATTCCAGGCAGTCCTTTTGGTAAATTAAATATACATTTAATTTTTTCTAAATAAAAACTAAAATTTTATCTTTATCATATATAAAGAATTTACTGTTGGACCAATACAAGGCGGTGGTGCACATAAAGTTCGTGCTAGTGGAAATGGTCTTGCTCGTGGAGAAGTTAATTCAACTAGTAAGTTTATTTTGATAATTTAATAATGATCTCATTTTGTTTCTTTCCTAGATGAATTTAATATTTATACACGTGAAGCAGGTGCTGGTGGTCTTGCTATTGCTATTGAAGGTCCAGCTAAAGCTGAAATTGACTTTTTCGATCGTAAAGATGGTTCATGTGGTGTATCTTATGTATGTCCTGAACCTGGTGAATATCAAGTCTCAATTAAATTCAATGATGAACATATCCCAGATTCACCATTTAATGTTGTTATTGGTTCACCATTTGGTGATGCTAAAAAATTAACAATACATAGTTTACAAACAAAAGGTCATGAAGTTAATCGACCATGTATGTTCACTGTTAACGTCAATGGTGCACGTGGACGACTTGATGCACGAGTAACAGCACCAAGTGGAGCAGAAGATACATGTATTGTACAAGAAATGGGTGATGGTAAGAAAAAAAGAAATTAGTTTTCTAATAAATATAAGAAATTTCTGTTTTTCAGAACATTATGCTATTCGATTTGTTCCACGAGAAAATGGTGTTCATTGGGTACATGTTCGTTTTAATGGACGTGATATACCTGATTCACCATTTCGTGTTGTTGTTGGTCATGCAAATGCTGATCCTGGTCGAGTATTTGCATCAGGTTCTGGTTTATATACAGGAGAAACTGGTAAAGAACGAAAAAAAAAATAACAAAAATACTAAATGATTAATAAATTATTTATAGGTCATCCATGCGAATTCTTAATTGATACAATGAATGCAGGTGCTGGTGCATTAGCAGTTACAGTTGATGGACCATCAAAAGTTCAACTTGATTGTAAAGAAGTTTCTGAAGGTAAAAAATAAGCAAAATGTTCTTAATCATTAAATAAATTTTAATAATTTTGAAATAGGTTATCGTGTAAGTTTTACACCAACAGCACCTGGTGATTATCTTATTACCATTAAATTTGCCGGAATTAATATTGCCGGAAGTCCATTTAAATGTCTTGTTGGAGGTAATTATTTGAAATATATATATATTTATTTAATTGAAATATTCAGGTGTTGGTTTAAATACAAATCGTGGCTTAGGCTCATTAAGTCAATCATCATCATATGTTCAACGTGCACAAGGTCAAACACAATATAATACAGTTGAACAATCTTCATCTTATGTATCAAGTTCACGAAATAATTATGCAAGTATTGATGCTAGTCGAGTACGAGCACAAGGAGAAGGTTTATCAAGAGCTTATAGAAATGAAAAAGCACAATTTACTGTTGATACACGTGATGGTGGTAAGATATTTTTTGAAATAAAATCATTAGAAAAAAATTCAATTCATTTATTTAATTAAGGAAATGCTATGTTAATGGTTGGTGTATTTGGTCCTAAATATCCATGTGAAGAAGTATTTATTAAACATGTTGGAAATAATCAATATAATGTTCAATATGTAAGTTTAATTTTGCTCGATATATATATTTATATTGAATTTATCTTCTTGTTTTAAAGACTGTACGAGAAAAAGGTGAATATATGTTGGTTGTTAAATGGGGCGATCAACATATTCCAGGTTCTCCTTGGCATATTGAAGTTGTTTAAGAGTCAATCAAACGTTTTTTTATATCGAACAAGAAATATATAAATTCACCTTTTCTTTTTTTTTTATTTATATGCATATATGCTAGAGAATTTTTTTTTTATATATTTTCTTTTCTTTTCATTTTCTCTTTTTCTCATTGAGTAGTGTTGTTATACTCTTGTGTGCACGCATGCTCAAACTACTCTTTTTTTTTTGTCTTTTTATTAGTCAAGGTGCTATGATGTATGAAATGAGTTAGAGAAAACAAAACAAATGAATCAGAATAATTCTCATTTCTACATCTAATTGTTTGATCATCCTTTCTTTTTCTCTAGAATTGGTCGAAAAAAAACTTTTTTTTTTTTCTTTTTTTATTATAAAGAAACTAATTTGTTCTATATATATAGACTTGCAAGAAAAGAATAATACCTTCATCCCTATCGATTTTGCTTTGTCCGTTTTGTGTTAATTCATGTTTTCATACATATTTTTTTTTTCTATAAAAGAGATTTTTATGAATAAGTCGAGAAATCTCTCTCGAGGAAAATATCTTCTTGTTCTATCAATATTCTGATTGATTAGAGTGTCAGAGGTTTTTCTCTTGAGTATATTTATTCATTTGTTGCTTCAATGCAATTTATTAGGAATATGTACTTAGAATGACTTCGTTCTTTATTCATAATCAATATACGCGATTCTAATTAAGATTTATAAGAAAAAGAAAACCATTGAATGTTATAAAGGATGTTAACTAAGTTCTATCTTCCTACTTTGTCTTTCTTCCGGTTTTGCACAATGAAAAAAAGTTGGATTTTATCATGTTCTTTTCCTAATACTACTATCCCTAAAGAGAAAACATAAAAACTTGGAATATTTACATTATTTTCCAGCTACTTATTTTTGTCTTGCTAATCAAATACAATATTTTTTGCTTTTGAATCAAACTAAGTAGCTATTTTTCTTAATGCATTCATCTCTACGTAAACGTCTAATTGAACGATCTGGTTCAATTTCTCCAACATCTTCATGTCCATCAACGCCACCACTTTCAAAAATATGGTTTCAACCACCAACAATTGATTTATGTATTATGAATATTGAACATCGTGAAAAAGTATTTGAACTTGTTACAAATACTTTTTTTCGTGATGAACCTTTAAATAAATGTCTTGCATTTGATCTTCCATACGAAGCAGCTGAATTTACTGAACTTGTTATATCAATAGCTTTAGAAGATCAATGTTCATTTGTAGCTATTGATATTCAAACACAAAAAATTATTGGTGTTATTTTAAATTTAATAAAACATCGTTTATCTTCAACAACAACAAATAATAATCAAGACAAATTTGATGTAAATAATTTTCAATCAGAAAAATTACGTTTTATCTTAGGTGTACTTAAACATGTTCATGGTACAACAGATTTATTTGAAGAAATGAATACAGATCATTTATTACATGTTGTTATTATTGCTATTGATGCACATTATCGTGGATTAAGACTAACAGAAAAATTAATTCATGCAAGTTTAGAACGTGCAAAAAATGTATTGAATATAAAAGGTGCATTTTCAGAAGCTACAAGTCTTTATTCATCGAAAGCATTTCGTAAACAAGGTTTTCAAGTGCATCAAGAAATTATTTATACGAAATATGATAATATTCGTTTAGCTAGCCTAGCTGGAGAACATGATCGATGTCAATTATTAACTAAACAATTATAATTTTTTCTTTCTTCTTCTTTTCTTTATATTTTGCTGTAGTCTTTTTTCTTCTTGTATGTCCTATTTGACAAAAAAAAGTACGCTCTTATATGACGATAGTTTCGCTTGAACGATTTGCTTTATTATTCCTTTCAATCGCAAAGGAACATACCAACATACATATGTATATGTATTGTAGAATAATTGCAAAAGCGTAATAGTACAAAATTTGTTTTGATTTTAATTTAAATGATATTATTGAACTAAATAAATCACGTATACTAATGGAATCTTTACAAAATGATAAAAATTTCAATACCGATACAATAGATCATGAGAAATTTCAACGTTTACGTCGTATAGCATTTTGGGCATGTGTTATTTCATTTATATTTGATATTACACTTGGTCTTACAGCATTTATTAATTGTATTCGTACAAAATCATTTGTTGGTTTTTCATATTCCGTTCATACATTTATGGATTCATTATGTACAAGTTTTGTATCCTGGCATTTAATGGCAAAAACAACTCATGATAGTCGTCGTCGTGATATACTTGCTTGTTGTGTTATTGGTGCATTATTTATTGGATCATTTCTTGCTATTGAAAGTCGTGCTATACAAAGTATGATGTCACCACCAAGTGTTCGACCTGATCTTACTGTTGTTATATATTCTTTTATACATATTATTGTATTTACAATCTTATCAATAATAAAAATACGTATTAGTAAACAAATTCGATCCATAGCATTAAAATATGATACATTAAATTCAATTATTGGTATTATTATGGTTTTACCACTTATAGTTTGGGATCGTGTTGTATTTATTAATCAATTTACACATCTTGATGATCTTATACAAGCTTTAATGGCTTTATTTTTATTTCTTGCTGGAGGAAAATTAATATTAGATTCAATAACAATAATGAATACAGAATATGCTCGTAAAATACGTGAAGAAAAATTAAAAAAGATGTTACACGAAAGTGACGATGATGATCATGGTCATGCTTTCGGCGGAATTAACACTAGTAATTATGTTATTGGTACTTGACAAATATTCTATTATTTTCAATTGATAAATCAATAGAATGAATTTCACACGAACGACGTTTTTATTCAAATCATATATTAGAAAATTCTTTTTTTTCTCGTTTTGTTCAGGAATAAATTCTAGGATCGATACTAAATATAATCGAAAATCAGATTCTTCTATAAACAATATATCAATTATAATTAAAAAATAAATAGATATCGATTATCGATTAATAAAAGTACATTATATGATTCATATATATATATAAATGTTACTATTAAGATCAGAAAGAAATATATTTAATTACATACTAATTCAAGTTATATTCTCCGAAGAGATTTATTAAACAAGAATTATAAACATGTATATATCCTTCATAATTTGATCTATTCATAGTAAAGATATTATAGATTAATTGAAGAAAACCTTCAATTTTTGAATATCTTTAGAATAATATTCGAAGAAAATACTAAGACTTTATTTAATTAAATTAATAGAGTCTACTCTAATCTTCGATTTTTTTTTAAATCAGTATTACGACTTACCAATAAGATATTTTATGTGAAATGAAATAAATAAATAAATAAACTATTTTGTGTTATCATGTAGAGTCCCGAGATTAAAAATATATGATTTCAATAGATGTCATTGAATGATTATGATATTCTTCGATTGGCCTTTAATTTATAATATCGATTTTTGAACGAAACTAAAGATGATTTATATATGTCATATTTGATAAGATAAATAACGTATTGATTTTTAGATGGACAATGAAATAGATGATGATGAATTAGCAGCAATGCTTGCTGAAGATGAGCAAGAAGATAATGAAGAGAAGAAAGATGAACAATCTATAATACCATTATCATTTGTTGAACAAGCAGAAACAATGACACCTGATCAATTAATTGAATTAACATATTCACTTGTTGATCAAACCGAAGATACTAAAAAAACTCCGACATACAAACTTTCTGATACTGATATGGGTGTATTATTTGGAACGGAAAAATCAAAGTACGAGAACATTTTTACAATTCACTTGTTCGTTTTTATTGAGAATAGTCAAAAAGATTTCAGTATAAAGATGTTAAGTTTTGTATCCTTAGAAAGAAATTATAAATTATCCATGAAGGACGTTCAAGCGAAGAAACAATCAAAATTAAAAAACACGTTCGACGTTAAACATACATGAACCTTCGAATATTTACTACGATTTTCATTTAGCAATGTGACTTGTAATAGTATTTTTAAAAGAATATTTACTACGATTCTCTCGTGTTTCAATGAAAAATTGTTGTCGAATAGAAAAAAAGTACAGTATAAGTAAATAATTAGATTCTTTTCTGAAGAATTTTTTCATAGCGAACGTCCAGAAAACGAGAAGGGAGTGATCAACAGGGGCGTACAGTGAACATAGGTCATATTTTCAATACAAAATTCAAAAGTAGTAGGGGGATGTCAAGCCCCATCCTCGGTACGTCCCTGGCAATCAATAAAAAAATGTATACTTTCGACGTCTTGTATGGATAATACCATACAGAATCTATTCAAATTCGATTAGCTATATCTAAAAAAGTCTATAGAGATTGAATTATATAACTGATATTTTTTTACTTTAGTTCATTAGTAGTATTAAAAAAACCACAATCTTCTGCAAGTACTACTTTATCCACAGTATCAAAAACACAATCAACTATAACACCTTCAGTTTATACTGAACCAACAACACATATTCGTATCGGTACACTTAATTATACACCAAGTGAAATAAAAACTAAAATAACATTAACAAAATTTATTCGTTTATCTGAAATTGATAAACAACCTCCACCAATGCCTGCAGAATGGTGTACTATGGCTGTATTAGCTCATAAATCTGATGTTAAACAAGCAAGTAATGGTTCAACATATAGTATTTGGCGTATAACAGATTTTAAAACAACAATAAATATGTTTTTATTTGGTGATGCACATCAAACTTTATGGAAAACAACATTATCGAGTGTTTTACTTGTTTATGATGGTGACACAAAAAAATCTGGACAATTATCAATAAAACAAGAACGTAATCTTTCAATTCTTGGTTCAAATCCTGATTTAGGACAATGTAAAGCTAAAACAAAATCCGGTGAACAATGTAAAATATTAATTGATCGACATTCCTGTGAATATTGTGTTACACATGCTCATCAAATACATAAAAGTGGTCAAAAAAATAATTATAATAATAATAATAAATTTAATGCTGGAAATTCGTCAAGAATGAATTTACAAAGTACAGGTTCATTTGTACCAAAAAAATTCGCTTCACTTGGTAGTAGTACCGATGGTGGTGGTGGTGGGGGTAATTCATCATGGTCATCGAAATCAACAGGAAGAAAGACAAAGGAATCTGCACAATTAGCCGGAAATGGACTTAATACTAAAGAAAAATCAATGCTTGTTATGTTAGGTATTGAAGATGATCCACAAATATGTATACGAAGTGATGAAACAAAAGGTTCTTATTGTTTGTAGATTATCTATGAATACATCTTTTTCGTTTTGTCAATTCAGGTTTAGCTGATTCAATGGCTGATGTTCGTGACCTTTATCATGCTAAACAAGCAGCTAGTAAAACAAAAAGAATTAAATATGATGAAACAAAACATAGAGATGAAGTTGATATGTCACAAATTCGTTCATATCCAATGGCTGCATCGAAATCACCTGAACATCAGAAAGAAATAATTTCTACGCCTATTATTAACAAGGGTAAGTCATAAATAGTCTATATGAAAATCAACAAAAATGTTGTTTCGTATTCATTTTAGTTTCGTCACCTAAACTATTTGTTGATTTAACTAAATCAGCAAGTTCTGAAGCAATCAATAGTGCTAAACAACGTGCAATTGATATACTTAAACAACGTCTTGCACAAAAACAGATTACACCAAAAACAGATCAATCATTAGTATCTGCTGATATAACTTCTCCTTCGTCTAAACGATTAAATAATGATTCGGATGTAAATCTTTCATCGAAACGTCTTAAAGTATCAAATAATGCCGATGATCAAAAACGTTTTGCTGATGTAATGAATATGAAATCTTCCTATGCTGAATTATATAGTCAAATGACATTGGATGAAATATTTGAACGTTATAAAAAGAAAGAAAATATTGAAGAAAAACTTCTTGAAATAATGGAACGTGATATAAAAGTTGTTGTTTGTCGACAATGTCATTATACAGCATATAAACAATCGGTAATATGTAAACAAAAACAACATTATGTTAAAATATGTGAAGTAAAACAAAAATTTTTTGAATGTATTGAATGTCATAAACGTATATTTACTTGGTCACAATATCCAGTAGAAAATTGTACAAATTGTCGTAGTTTAAAAGGTTTTCGTCGTACAGCTTTAATTCGTGAACGTCATGGAGCAAAATTTGAAGATGAAATTTTATTATTGCGTGGTGAAGAAGAAAAATTTCTTAATTCATTTGTTACTTATGAAAAATTACCTAGTGTTGTCGATTAATTACAAATTTCATTAACTTTTTTGTCTTTATCTGTTCTTGTTATGGCATAATCGTATATATATTATATATATATACATACATATCAATAAAATCCTGCTGTTATTTATCTGTTCAAGATCTGAATTATTTCTTTTCGACCATTTTGAAATATGACAACACATCGATAGTTGAGTAGCTTGGAACATGTAAGACGGAAAAGATCTGCATAAGTATGGATACTGTAATAGAATATACTTGAACATGATCTATATTTCTGAGAAATAAAAATATTGATATGCCTTGTCGTTCTTTCGAATTTAAATCTGAATACTATTATGTATAACATAAAGGTGGACCTAGCGAAAAAAAACGGATTACAATGATCTTTTAAATATCAGTGACATAATTAGAGAGATGAACTAGATAGCATACCATCCGCCTGTAATTTAATATCAAAGTACATTAACTAATAATTTCTGCTCTTTGTTATTGATTATCCAGTTCTAAAAATATCTGCCAATGAATGATAATCTAAGTCAATGGATAATTTATTTTCATTTGTGTCTGTATAACAGATAAGTAAGTAAACAATTCGTTATTTTCCAATTTTGAAAATCAGTTTTTTTTGTGTTATTTTTATATATAGGAGATTATTCTAACGGAGTGAAACGTAATCAGATTTCAAAACTTTATTTAGTTCAAAAACTTCAAAGAAACAACAATCGATTGAGTTTGTCATGCGAGTGATTCAATAGTCTCTTAAGAAGATCAAATTAATTACTAACCACCCGTCCATAATCAACAATAAGAAAAAAAACTTTTTTTTATATTCAAAATCATGCATATATATTATATTCGTATTACGTAGTTCTTTAAAACAAGAATTATTCATTCAACTAAAATATTAGATAATAAATAAGGAAAAAAAACGATGTTTTCCGTAGATTAGAATTCCTATCATTTGACTGATGAGAATACTCATTACCAATAGATTTAACCTACTGATATTACTGCAGACAAAATAAGCATGGAATAATATTAAGCAATTAAGAAGAAGTCTTATAAAAGATTTTTATGGAAAACAATTCAAATTCTTGTCATTTAAATTCAGTATGCTTCAATGATATCTATTATTTTCAGCTCTCATCTTTTTTGTAGTATTATATTAGTTACTTATGTTTTTCTTTCGAAATAGAATAAAGTAAGAAACAAGAACTGAGTATAAAGAAAATCTTGCATTATTACAGATGTGAATTCTCAATGGATTATCGAAGAATGTTTCACTATTTCATGATTATCTTATTATCGTTTGTTAAACATATACATTCTTTTAGTTTGATGATGATTATTTTTCATCATAAATTTTATTCTTTATACTGATGTAAAAATAACACCTATCAGTTTAAAAGACATACGTCACATTGCTTATGGCGTAATATTCTTCCGTTATATCAAATATAGTATTTCGGATTTATGTCTACACGTTAAAAGAAATTTTTACTTAGAGAATTATAATGTATCGTCTGGGAACTATAGTAAGAAATGTCATGTACAATAGATAGTAATTTTTAGAAGTATTTTATTATCGGAAGAAAATTTATAAATTATCTTTTTTTTCTCCTATTGCATCAATTCGATAAATTCATATTTTTATGAAATACAATATTTAATTTTTATTAGAAATTTTGAAAAAGAAAAATATATAATAACTTATTCTTATTTATAACATTCACATACTTTTAGTAATAAAATCCACTGATATATCTCGTTAACAATAAACTTATAATAATAGTTGATAAGGATGAATGTAATAGATTTGAATGATTACATCCATCAGCTGTACAAAGTGACATAAAACCTTGCAATCGTATCGATCCTTGCATACCTTGCAAACCTTGTAAACGAAAATTACCAGTTGTTTCTAATGATTTTGTTGAATCCATTATATTATCAATAACACATGTACGATAATAAAGAATAGCATTCAAATAAGAAGCATTCGCATTTGGATCAACACTTGTAACACGACCAGTAATTTTAACACAATATCGTGCTGGAAATGTTCCAATTTTTCCTACTGATGTAGCCTATATAGATAAAATAATTATATAGTACAGATGTATACTAATTATTTAAAGCAAAAAAACAAAATTAAGATATTTACTTGACAATCATTTTGAATTGGATTAAGCAACGATGAAAATGGATCTCGACAAGCATCATTCGTTGGATCTGTTGTCATACATTTATAGCACGATACACCTTGACTTGATAAAGGTTTAATAATGATCAAAAAATGTAAAATAATTCCAGTTAAATATTTCCAAATATTAGCATTTAATAGCATTCTATAATAAGAGAAACAAAAAAAAGATTTAAGTAATAATTTAGGCTCTTTTTTTCTTCTTCTTCTGTATTAATAGTAGCACTTACATTGTATACAAAATCGTATGCGTGGTTGCTAACTAGAATATTATATACGCTTACTAAGTAATGATGAAGCTCTTTTTCTTTTTAAAAAAATAATACGAATTATTCTTCCTTTTTCCTTTTGCTCAACGAGTCATCAGCATCATCAACATCACTTTTCTTTCTTTCTTTCTCGCTTTTGACATATATACTTCAACAGTAAAACATTCTATTTCACTACTGCTTTATTTCTTCATTTTCCTTTTTTTTTTTTTATTCTGCAAGTCTCTGCTAGATTCTAGCTTCGTTTTTCTTTTCCCTACTCTTAATATTTTTTGCGTCTCCTGTCATCAACAGCAGTCATGTAGAAAAATTGACTCATTGATTATGTCTCTAGCAAACAGAACAGATGAATAAATTTTTTTTCTCTCTCTATTTTTCATAATAAATGATGCGATACTACTTATATATTTTTCTTAACTAACAACACTAGTTTGATTTGTCTATTATACTAACACATAGAGAATATATTGTTGACATTAAGAGATTGAACATGGGTATTGTTGTTAAGGTGAAAAACAAAACCTTTAAATTATTCCGTTACGAATGCCGTATTAGATCAATTATTGATTTTGTTTTTCTTCTTCAAATAATAGATTATGCTATTTTTTTCCAACTACGCATAATTCTATTTTTACACTCATCATAAAAATGTCAGTTACATTAGTTGAAGTTTCTTTTGTTTTTATTGAAAAACTGTCTCAATGATGAAAGTTCATTTAAGACTAGAATAAACAAATTTAGTTTGTATTCATTTTCTATGTTAAATATGGTCGATGAATTTTTCTTTATACAAGATAAATAGTGATATTTGTCAACAATATTATTCAATGTAATTATTTCCTTAGTTTTTTTTTCATTGTTAAAAGGATGTCTCTTGATTTTAACTGAAGAAAAATACCGGAAATTAAAAATCACAATATTCCCTAATTATTTGATATGACAGATTACATGAGGAGAAAAAAAAAGAATTCATCAAATGAATGTCCATCGAGTGGCAAATGTTTCTGACAGCTATCAAATTTGTTTCTCATGACAGATCATAAGAATAACAGACATTTATTCTATTCATAAGGTACTCCTAGATTTATATATGAAGAATGAAAAAAAAAGGGAAGAATTTTTTTTTCTTTTTAAGGCAAATCTACTCAATGTTAATAATTTTGCTTTTGTTATAGTCTATTATTAATAAAAGAATACTAAATGATGAACAATATAACAGTATCTTTACTATTATTCATTAAAAGTAAATCGGATTAAATTTAATTTCCTATATATTACGCATTTTGTTAATGTCATATTAACTGACATAATAATATCAAAAAATGTCAGCCAGAATAATAGATTTTACTGACGTTCAGTTTGTTATGATACTGAAAGCTTTTAGCACTTCATATTTACTTCCACATAAAAATATGCATTAGAAGTAACTAGTAGTTTTATAGAAGAAACACGTATCATTGAGAGATTGAGTTATATTTCTAGCTAATCAACAACTACTTAAAACAATATTGTCCAACTAAGATTTTGAAAAAAAGAGTGTATTAAATCTTATATATTTTTCAATTATTTTATTTTCTATTAAATATTGTACAATAAAATATTTTAAAATCTATCATTAACATTTGATAGTTTAGCTTTAAAAGTAATAAGTTCATTGATTTGTTCTAATAATTGTAGACGTTCTTCTTTACTTGATGGATTCTACAAATCAGAAAAAAAATAAACGATGAAGAAAAGATTTTTAATAAGATATATGTTTACTATTTTTGTTAATTCATGTAAAATTTGTTCAAAGATTTCATTTTGTTTTAATTCATATTCATGTATTGATTTTAAACGTTGAATAAATACATCGATATTATTTTCACATGATTTTAAAGTATTTAAACAAGATGTTTGTTCATTGATATAATTAATAAAATTTGATTGTTCTTTTATACATCGTTGATATTCATTTAAATAATAGTTCGATATTGTTTTATTGACTAATACTGACGGTGAAGCAAGTAAATGAGTATTTAATTGTGAATTTAAATAATCCGTACATTCAGTATTAAATTTATCGATTATAGTATTTGTCATATTTCAGAATTCAGGAAAAAACAAAATTTACGTTAGTTGTCAATTTGTATGAGAATAAAGAGAGACATTGTTCGTTTGTTCAAGGCTTTGGTTGGTTTATTTTTGAAAATGTAGATATTCATGAGAGGGCGCTCAAACGAAAGTAAAAAATATTTACAAGTAAGGATATGGTAATCAATCTAAACATACATAGTTTTTCCTTTCGGAGTAAAATAATTCACTACGAGAATTAAATTTAGAGTAAGTGATTATTTGACTTGAAGTAATCAAAATAAATGTATTCCGTAGGCATGTACACGTTCGATATATTTGATGTACGATAGTGAAAATTGGATGTTCTCAGTGGTTTATCCAGAGGGGGAGGGGCACGGGGCTTTTTGCCCTCTCGGAGGGTGCCCTTGCCCACCCGGAATTCAGAAAAATTATGCTTTTTGAGTCTGAAACTCTACGTTTGCCCCCTGCCCCCAGAAGAGAGATTTTTGCCCACCCGGCAGTTAATTTCGCACCCTCGGACGAAAAAAGCTAGATAAAACACTGGATGTTCTCTCCTCCGACAACAAGTTTAAAAGTATTTCATTGAATAGCGGCCATGTTAGACATTTTGACCTGCAAGATACGGAAAATCTGACTTGTTCCTAAGAGTAGAGAGATACTGATATGTATTTCCGTATGAGTGAACTATAAAATAATATTTTTTCATATCAAAATTGATACACCTATGAACCTTTCGTGTCAACAAAACGCCACATGAGAATTTTTAGAATAATGGAAAACATATTGAAACAAAACTACTTCTGGGATAACAACTATATTATACTCAGTGTTGCCAACTCTTCCAGTTTTTCCAGAAAAATTCCGGATTTTCGATAACTTTTATTGAATTAAATTTTACCTATTTGTTAATACTCAAAAAAAAATTTTTATTTGACAGCGGCTCAGTGGCTTATACTTCTTATATATTTAGTTTATTATATTTTGATGTTGATTTTCGTTTGATATATAGAAACATGTGGTTTTTGAAATAATAAGTATTATAATTGAGAACAAGATTTTGAGAAATGTATTTTAGCTGGTAGAAATTAACTGTTAAAGACCTCTCCGGATTTAACAAAAAATCTTTTCGGATTGTTTTTTTCTATAATCTTTTACTTAAAAGTATAGATTGATATTTTATCTGTTCTTTATAAAATACATATTTGTTTTTTAAAAAAAGAAAAAAGAAAATTTTGTCATTCATTTCTATTATGGTGATTATTTGATTTTTTTCTTTTAAGTTCATTTAAAATTGTACTTGAAAGCATATGAAAACATTCATTAAATGTATAAGCATTTTGTCCTTCACTAAAATCAATTTCATTTAATGCACCAAGTACAAGAACATATGAACAAGCAATACGTAATATTGAAAGACGACTTAATTTTGGTTGATCACTATACATAGGTATAACTTGTCGTAATGCTTCAAATGCAGCCGTTAAATTATGTACACGTTCACGTTCACGTGCATTAGCTTCTAAACGTTTATCATAAGTTAATCGTGGACGTTTTGATGTTAGATTTTGATAGGTAATTGGCGTTTCTTCATCACTCATAATATTATCTTCTTCATCAATAGAACTAAAATGTGGTAAATTTGATGATTCATCATCATCATCTGTAAGAGTAATTCTTGGTTCTTCAATAGGAATAGTAATACATGAATTTTTAGTTAATTGATGCATAAATGAAGATTCTATTGATGTTTGTATTGTTTTTGATGGATGTGCAGATTTGCGAGACCTTTTTATTGGACTAGAATGTTGTATGGATGTTGTATTGATAACAACATGATTACTATCAACTTCAATGGGTTCGAGTTTCATCATATTCGTACTAAATATAATAATAAAAAAAAACAAGATAAAGATTTTGTTTACAATTTAATCGAGCTTACTCATTCATATTTTCTTTTTTTTCAATATATATGACATTAATACTATACACCTTTGGATTAGTTCGTATCCTTTATTTGAAAGAAAAAGATCAATGAAAGATAGAAATAAGATGAAGTATGATCGTTTGTATGTTTTAGCAGCTTGTGTTATAGCGCATACACATTTTTTCTACCACATCCGTATGGCCGGCTGGTACTGCTGTTGCTGCCATTATTTCTTCTATTCTCTCCCTCTCCCTCTCTCTCTCTCTCTTTTGCCACCTAACACGCATATATACAACAGCCGTCATCATTGACTAGTCTATTCGCATGATGATTGCCTGCAACACATGTTCACTGTAGAAGAGAGAAAGACAAGCAGACGGCGTAAGAATACTTCTGCCATAGGGAATGTATTGCACACATGTGATAGAGAAAACGTTTCCATTCGATACTTTCTTCCGTTTCCTTTTCTTCTTAGAACGATTTACATTTGTTCTCGTTGTTGTTCTTCTTCCTCCTCTTCTTCTTCTCCTCTTTTTTTTGTGCTATTCTTTTGGTATCACGTCATTACTACACATCTATATTGATAATCTAATAAAAGAAAAAAAAAGAACAAGAAGAAGAAGAAAAGAATGTTAGCAACTCACAGGTGTGAAAATTAACAGTAGCCAGATGGGTACCACTCTCATAAATAGAAAAAAAAATCCTAATCTCAATAAGATAGTTTTATAAAAATATAATATACATCTTAGAATCGTATACTGTATAAAGTTTTTATTTCTACTTGTATATCATATGTGCATTTAATAAGCTAAAATTTTTTCATAAAATGTTTCCTTACATTATTATTAACAGTTTCAATTTTGTTCTAAATAAATAAGTATAAGGGTGAAATAGGAAATTGGCTCGATCAATTAATTTTTTCTTTCGATAAAAATAAGAAAATTTTACCTAAAAAATAACAGAACAGATGATTATACGGAACGCAAAGTGAGAAAAACAATAATGTTTTAATAGAATTACTTTCATACACATAAAACTAAGAAAAAGAAAACAGTTATACGTTGATAGAATACAGACACACTTGTTGATAACACGATTAATAATAATAAATATGGAACATAATATTGCTAAACAAATAGTACAAGCGAATCGTTCTTCATGTATGAAAATAATTCCACTAAATGAGTTTTTTTCTGGAAAAAATATAATTTTTAACTTTTAAGTAAAACAAAATTGGTCAACCAGTATTTTACGAGAAGAAATTGCAACTCTTAATGAATCGAGTAAGTACAAATATGGATTCTAGAACAATTTCTCTCTAATCCATTTTAGTTACGGGCCATCGACAAGCACCTACTTATGTAACAGATACTGAAACTCAACGTGAATATCAAAATCCAACTATAAAACGTATAGAATATTTAAAACAAACAGAACAAAATCTATACGGTCGTTTTGCTCATACACCTAATCGAACTCCACCAAGTGGTATAGTACCCACATATGATGCGAAAAAATATCCGGATGTTATTCCCCGTTTTCATTTACCTAAGATACCATAATAAATTTATTTTGTATTTTTCTTTTTCAAATAATAAAGAAAAAAAACAAAACAATTTGTAAGAGATCAGTTGTCTAATAATTAAACGAAGGCTTTAGCATAGCCTTAATCAAGATGAAGAAATACCAGGTTATTATAACATAATAGATTGAAGACTTCGATTACCACCGACACTTATCGGTCGTTGAATGATTTGACCACTAGATAATTGTTGTATGAGTTGATTTGGTATTTGCGATGAAGATGAAACATATTGTATTGATGGCGACATAATTCCTGATTGACAATTGAGTGATTTCGGTTGACTTTGAACTAGATTAGATTGTTGAATACCTGAATTTCCAGCGACATAACCCTAAATTAGTATGAAATAAACGATACATATATATAATTTATATCATTAGTAAACATACTATAGGCACTTGTTCTGTAAAAACTTGTGCTGGTGGATAAATATCCTGAACATATTCAGTAATTTGTAATTGTGGCTGTTGTTGTGGAGCAGCTGCAGGTGCTGGAACTGCAAATGGAATAATAATAGGTGGTAATGGTGCAGAAGAAGAACTGTGTGATCGACAATGTCGTCGATGATGATGATGATGATGATGACGACGACGACGACAACATTTAATACGTATAGGTTCTTCAATATAACGTTCTATTTGACGACAAGATGAAGGTCTATAATATTCCTAAACAAGATAAATATGAAATTGTTATATGTGTACATGTATAAATTCATTTCATTAGCTAAGGTATTATCTTTTTAAAACATACTTCTTCTACATATTGACTGTATTGAGATCCTTGCATAGGCATTTGTACGGGTACTGGATATGGAACAGGAACAGGTACTTGTTCACGTAAACACATTTGTTGATTTCCCATCATACATTGCTGTCCCATCATAGGTTGTTGTCCCATCATAGATTGTAGTCCCATCATAGGTTGTTGTCCCATCATACATTGTTGTCCCATCATA